ATCTGCAAACAGGGCACTGGGAGGACAATTTCAAAGCCAGCCCATACACCTTTTACTCACTCCCAAGTCCTTCTGATCCTGCTGCTTGGATCGTGGGTCCATGGAAGGGTGTGCAATGAGGACTTGGGGGAGTTGGTGGGTGAGTGGCTGGACGTGACCTGGCAATGGGCACTGGCAGCCCAGAAAGTCAACTGTGTCCTGGGCTGCACCCCCAGCAGGGTGAGCAGCAGGTGAGGGAGGGGATTCCACCCCTCTACTCTGCTCTCAGGAGACTCTACTTGCAGTGCTGCACCCAGCTCCAGAGCCTCCAACAAACCATGGAGCTGCTGGAGCGAGTCCTGAGGAGGCCACAGAGATCCTCAGGGGGCTGGAGCCCCTCTGCTCTGGAGACAGGCTGGGAGAGCTGGGGGTGTTCAGCTTGGAGAAGAGAAGGCTCCAGGGAGACCTCAGAGCCCTTTCCAGTGCCTAAAGGGGCTCCAAAAGAATTGGAGAGGGACTTCAGATAAGGGCCTGGAGTGACAGAACTAGGGAGAATGGCTTCACCCTGACAGAGGGCAGGGTTAGATGGGATATTAGGAAGAAATTCTTGGCTGTGAGGGTGGTGAGCCACTGGCACAGGTTGCCCAGAGAAGCTGTGGATGCCCCATCCCTGGAAGTGTTCCAGGTCAGGTTGGATGGGGCTTGGAGCAACCTGGGATAGTGGAAGGTGTCCCTGCCCATGGCAGGGGGTTGGAAAAAGATTGCCTTTAAGATCCCTTCCAACCCAAACCATTCCATGACTCTGTGATCCTACAAATACTCACCTGCAATAAGGCAGCTTTTATGAAACATTTGCAGCACCTACAACTAACACTCAAAGCTCACCAGTGCTGTATCACTGGGGTCTTGAAAGGCTTGGGCACAGACCTTTTGCTCATGGGACAAAACAGAAAGAAAAATGTCCTGGTGTGCACAGAGAGACCTCTGGCCATGTGGAAAGTCAGTATTGGGGCTCATTCCTGCTACTGCAAAACACATCAAGGGACTTTGCCATAGGCTGTGATGAATAACACCCCAAACACCTACCTCCTGGTAAATCCTACCCAAAAAGTCCCAGGCTGAGGTTCCCCAGGGCTCCTATCACCCCTGCAAGCCCAGCCTGAGTCCCTGCAGTGTGGAGAAAGAAACACAACACTCAAGTCTTCCAAATGATCCCCTCACAGCTTTACCTGGGAGCCAGTGAATGCCATGAACCACAGACCAGGGAGACAAGGTGCTCAGAGTGAGCTATGATGGACAGCTTTTTATTTCCCAATGTTTTCATTTAACAAAGTGTTACATTCCATAGTTACAGTATGAGGAGTTGTTCCTGTCCAAAATAGAAAAAAAACCACGAGGAAGCATGAGGACTGCTAACATCACTCTATGGAAGCAGTGCAGTCCAGAGAAACCTCACCAGGGGGAACATCTGGCCTCAGAGACACCTTTAAAAATCAGCAGCTGTATAGAAGAGGTGCATTTCATTAGGGCAAGAGCTGCACACCAGGCTGGTTCCTCCTGTCAGGAATGGGGCTGGAGATGCTGTCGTGTGATGCCTTCAATAAATTCTGGTTTGTGCTATCAGGAAAATGCAAAACAGAGGTGAGTGACTTGTCCTGTGTCAGTCGAGGGGTTATTCTATTGCTGCAGTGAAGTCGCCGTCGCAGCCATCCCAGGGTCACCTCAGCACTCAGGGGCTTGCAGTTCACCCAGCACAGAGGATGAGGATGAGGAGGATCCTTCTTGGTTGCTTTTCCTGCCCTGTCTCTCTCAAAAGAATCTGCTTGTTTGGCAAGCAGAGGTACAGATTAAATCAGCAGAGCATTAAGCCACTGGAGCATCAGCTCCCACCTTAACCCCTCCTCCCCTCCCTCCTGCCATCTCTGTTCAAGGAAATGAATTAAACTCCAGGAGTTGTATAGAGAACAATTTTAAGAGCCCAATCCAAAGTCTCCTGGCCTTGGATGAGAAGGGAAGGAGCTGAATGATGCTTGTGCTTTCAGGACCTTCACAAACTGCACTGATGCGGGGGCACTGCAGGAAACCCTGTCTGTGCTCCAAAGGCTCTCCCACAAGCTTCCCTGGGATCCAAGGCTGGATCTGACTGTCCAGCTTACTTCCAGGTTAAGCTGAAGACATGGGAAGCCTGGTACCTGACCAAAACCAACTATTCAACAAACACCTCCACTTCAAATGGACATCAGCTGGGATCTCTGCACTGCTGAGCAGGTCAGAAATCTGGCCAACAGTAGTCAGCTCTCAGTCAAGGCTCCTTGGTTGGTGTTCAGAGTCAGAGACAGGCCTGGCAGTGAGGATGGACCACAAGCAAAACGCTTCTAGTTACTAACTCTGTCTTCAGCAGAGACCAGAGAGCCCACACTGAACTGTGTATGCAGCTGGATCTGATCTCTCTTTTGGCTACCACTCTCCTGCTTGCCCAGGCTGTCCCATCATACCTTCCATACATCCACTTACAACTATTTGTCAGCCCCACTTGCGGCACTGCTGATTTCCAGCATCCCACCCAGCCTTGCCATGTCCTCTCTGAGGGAAGCCTGGTTCTGAGGACACCAGGGCACCCAGCTGGTGCAGTAAAACCCCACCTTTGTCATTCTGACTGACAGCCTTGCCTTTAACTCCTTAAGCTCATTATGTTGGGGTGGGAGAAGAAAGACAGGGAGACTGATTGCTGCTGCAGAAAGCCAGTGTTTCCCAAGCTGTGGATTTGTTAGCACAACCAGAGGCCATGGCACCTCCCCACCCGCCTTCCCAATCCATCAAACTGACAAGTCATCCATAAAGATCCTCCTGTGCTGCCAGAGCTGGGGTATTTAAACCAGCAGCCTGCAGCTTTGCTCAGCCATCCCTCCTCCTTCTCCTGACGGGCCCAGCAGCTCTGCATTTTACTGGGTACTTAACACAACTTATGCTCCAAGACAGGCCCCCTCTTGCAGAAGCCAAGGCCCTTTATCACTGCTGATTCCCTGTGCCTTCCAAGCTGGACCAGGGTAAAGCACTTCAAGAACACCTTGCAGGTGCCTGAGTCTCATTTCCAGCCTGCCTGGCACTGTTCCTGAAAAACAAGCCTTTCTGAAGATGATCTCCAGCAACCTGGAAGGGAGAAGTCATTTCACTTTGCAACCCCCATCATACCTTGCCAGGAATAAGTCACCAAAAGCCCAAAGGACAACATTTCCTGATTTCCAATGTTGCAAGACAGTCAGCAATGCTCACCTGGACTGTTAACACTTCCTGAGCACCTCCAAGAGACTTAGGAATGAGAAGGAAATAGGGACAGATGAGTCTTGAAGGAAAACTTCATCTTAACTTGGGGTATTGCTTATTATGGGAGAAAGGGGCTTTAATTTTGGGTAGGGGCACCTGGACTTGGTGGATTGCCCCTCAGTGCCTGTTAAAGATGTGGGGCTGATTTTAGCAGGGCAAGATTCTCCTCGTTAAAGTTTCAGGAACAAGAAGGGAGAGATGCACTGTGAGATCTCCCTGTCTGGGAAAGCCTGACCTAGAGGGACTAGGGTATGAAGACCTTCCCCAACATGTTGATGGACCAGTCTCCCCAACCTGCTTCCCACAAACTTGGTGGGATGAATGTGTGAGGGACCACACACAGCTGTTTGAGTGGAAGACTTGCATTAGCAGCATTTTGAAACCAGGTTGTCCCACCTGTCCTTCTCCAGATGGGAGATGACTCAGTAGGTGTAGAGGTAAGGCTCACAGGAAAGTACCTGGCCCCTGAAGAGCATAGATTGTTCAGAGCTGAACATCACATCTGGAGATTTAATGTCCAAAGGAGGTTCTGACCTCCTCAAAGAGACCTCAGCCTGAATAGGGGCTCCTGAATGTCCTCTCTGCCTTGCAATCCCACTCACACTCCCACAAGGCATTTGCTTCCCATCATCAACATCTACCTTTTACCATCTTTCCACCTTCACAAGGAATGACATCCTGCACCTGCCCCTCCTCAAACTCTCCTCCCTCCACTTCTTCAAAGGCTCAGTGGGATTTAACCTCACAGATGTGTGGTCTGCCCTTATTTCTCTGATCAGGTCTCCTCTGGCAACAATCACTGTTCCTTGCATGAAGGATGATTCCCCCACAAAACAGTGATTCCCACCTTGGAAACATGGATGCTTTGCACAAAACATCAGACTGAAGTAATTCCATAACCAGAAGCAGAGATCAAGTAATGCAGCCCCTTTTCTGGCTATTTTGACAGCACTTCTGGGCAAAGCAACATCAGCCTCCCCTGTCTGGTGCCTGTGACATCTCAGGCACTGGCTGTGTCTCCCCCTGTAACCCAGGGCTAGCAGGGCTAACCCAGGCAGCACAGCAGCTTGCCCTCACCCTGTGCCACCCTTGGCTTCACCACCACAACCCCTGAATCCACCTGTCCTACAGTTCCACCTTCCCCCCCGATGGCCAGAGGTTCCCAGTGTGGCCATTTCACATCCCCACAGCAAACACCTCTCCAGCTGTGGCTGCTTTCCCACTCTTAGCCATGAATCCCTCAACACTGACAGTCGCCTGCTCCACAACCTTGAGTGCCTTTCTGTACTCCGTGGTCTGGAGATCAGTTGCCCAGGGAAGCTGTGGCTGCCCCATCCCTGGAAATGTTCCAGGCCAGGCTGGATGGGGCTTGGAGCAACCTGGTCTAGTGGAAGGTGTCCCAGCCCATGGCAGGGGGGTGGAATGAGATAGTCTTGAAGGTCCCTTCCAACCCAAACTGTTCTGTGATTCTATCAGACAAGACCCATCCAAATCCCCCAAAGGTGTTGCTGTTCGTGCAGCTTTCAGGGGCTGAAAATGCAATTTCCAGCGGGACAGATGCTCCACTTTCATCTCTATGGGAAAGCAGCCTTGGAAAGAGATGAACCACTAACTAGTGTCCTTCAAACAGGAGGCAGGAGCTGAGGAAGCCTCTGATCTGCCTGTTCTCTGACCTACACTGACCAAGAGCTGAGAGATCCATGCAAGACCACCCGTCAGTAGGCGAGCGCTGGTATTTATTGTGCTGTAACAGACAGTGCTGGTTGAAAATGGACAGGATTTTTGTGGTGAAATCAAGTGCTGAGGCCATTCCCGTGTGTCTCCAAGCAGTGTGGAGAAGAGCTGAAGGGAGAGAGCAGGGGTGAGAGTCGGGCACCCAAGTGCAGAAATGTGCTTCAAACTGAATCAAGAACACTGTACGTGGGCACTTCTCAGGTGGCCAGGGACACAGTTCAGGTGTACAACTCATTAATTAAGCAGAGCAGCTAATCTTAGCACTAATGAACTCTAGCTCAGGTAATGTAACATTTAAAATTAATTGGACAGCAGTCATTCACAGTAAAGATTTCCATTCCCGGGTTAGGTGAGAGCTATTGTTATGATTAGATTACTGCCAGCCAGGACCAAAACAGTACACCAGGGTGATAGGAAAATAATCATCCATATGGATCAGCTCCAGCTGTAACAAGACGCGCTGTGGATCTGAAATGTGAAATCTCCACTATTGTATCAAACAAACATCACTGGCGGGACACGAAGAGCGTAGCATGCCTTGGTCAGGGCACTGAGCCCTGCTGGGGCCCTGGGGTGGTGGAGAGAGCAGGGATGCAGCACAGAGTCACTTGTTCTTCTTCTCCCTCTCCCTCCCTCCTCGGAAAAGTCACAAGGGCACCGCAGTCCGGTTCAAAATTCGTCTTCGGAGCTGTCAGCCAAGAGCATGACTCGGTCCTGCATGCTGTTAAACTCCCTCTGCTGGGGGGGGAAAAAGAGACATGAAAGAGCTCCACGTGCAAAAAGGAGATTGGATAAAAGGCATTTGGATCCCCCCATCCCTCAACCAAGACATCCAGGGCACTTCAGTCATACCCAGGCTGCGCTCGCTTTACAGCCCAAAGGATTAATGGGAGAATGGGTGGGATTGGGGTCTTTCTTTGCAGGTTCAGTACCTTTCTTTTATGTCTCTTCGAGCCATTTCTCCTTCGGCGGTTCATAATCTTGATGCTGTAGAGCGCTCCCAGGATAAACAGGGCTCCTGCTATTCCCACTCCCACGGGAACCAGCATCCCCGACATGTACCCTGCCTGAGTGGGAAAGAGAAGCAGAGCAGCACTCACAAGACCATCCTTTCAGAGTCAGTTTTCACCAGTTCTAGGGCTGAAACGTATCCCTGTGGTGCTTTCCTCAAAGTTTACTGGATTTGAGTCCCTACCACCTGCCCGCACAGGATGAGCCCTGGTTCCAGGGGCTAAGCAAGCCCCAACCAGCCCACACTGCAGGACCAAGCTGTCAAACCACCACAGCTCCCTCACCATCAGCTTTTTCTAACAGATATGTGCTGTTGATAGTTGAGAACCCGCAGTGCCTGCCCAGATTTAGGAGAAGGAACAATTTGGGTGACGTGTCTGTCAATATGGGTGTTAAGTGTGAAGGAAAACCTCAACCATCAAGGCCAGGCAATCTCAAGTCACACCAAAGATCTGTGACCACCCAAACAGCCTGACCAGATGCTGTGTAAAGTAGGCTGAGTGCTGCTCTGAGCTCCCCAGGTACCACCACCACAAATAAAGGCACAGGTGTATCATGGAATGGTTTGGGTTCGAAGAGATCTTAAAAATCATCTCGTTCCAACCCCCGTGCCGTGGGCAGGGACACCCTGCCCTCTCTGTGCCCAGCCCAGCCTGGGTCTCCTCTGCTTTGTACTCAAAATCCTTGAGCCAAACACTTTTTCTTTGCATGGGAAGGGGTGACTTGCATGAGAGCAGGATGATGACATAGAGGTAGGGCACACAGACCTTCAGCTGGCCCTAAGGGAAGCACAGCAAAAGTAAATCAGCTCTAATTCCATTGCTGTGATCCATATGTTTGCATAGCCTGTTTAAAAAAACATATAGATAGCAAGAGTAATTTAAAAATTACACATCTAAGCATTTAAAATCCTTGAGAAAATATTCCCTAGTCCTTGTTATTTCATATTTTACTGCTTCAAATGAAAATGAACGTAAGTTCCAAGGTGACAGACTGCTTCAGAATCCTCACCTAATTCAGGCTGGGGGGCCCAGTGTTGCAAGGGAGGCAGGTACAGTCTGACCCCCCTCCCTCAGAAGCTCTGCCTTTTTTCACACTGCAGCAGCAGAGTCCTCTGCTGTGCAGCTTCACCATGTCCACCCCCAAAACAGATTTTACACCTGCCAAGGGACAGATGCACCAATCCTGAGGACTATCAGCCAGCTCTTAGAGAGCCTCAGCCCATTGCTTACAACCACTCATCTTCATCTGCACTCCCAAACTCCAACACAGAGCCACAACACACACACCAGAATCACTTTTCTTCCATAATTCACAGAGTGGGAGGGAAAAAAAAAAAAAGAAAGCTAATCAGGTACACTGCCCTGCCTTTGTATCCTTACCTGGAGAATGAAAATAACTGCTTTCATCTAGGGCAGACACAATGCTAACAAGGGCTGGGTTGCTCTCCCAAACCCCTCCAGATCCTACTCAGTGCTTTAAATAGTAACACCTTTGTGTGTGGATCCCAAGGCTTGAGGGATCTTCAGCTGCATCCTGCAGATTCCCTGAACACCCTCCCAGAAAACCCATCCCCCTTCAGCACAGCTGCTGGGAGGGGGCTACATCCCTGCACCCAGCTCCTGAAAAAAGGAGGTTAGTGAGAACACAGCTAAAAAGGCTCTATCTCTGCGAGGCAATTAAGGTGCCTTAATTGGGTGACCTAATTAGTGCAGAGTGGGGTTTTCTATTTCTGGAACTTTGCTGCTGGCACAGGCAGCGACTGGAAATGGCTTTTAGCTGCTGCCCAGTTGAGTTTCCACCTAGAAATCACTGCTTTTAATACAACAAACTCCACAGCCTGTCTGTGAGCCTTTATCACACCTGACCAGCCCATGGCCTTTTACAGGTTTCCCTCAAAACCCAGATCAATGTTTTATATCCCAAAAGCCTGTGATGTGATGCAGACCCAGCTCTTCTGTGCTGTTCAGCCCAACTCCTGAGGGCTTCTGCACTTGCTTGATAGAAAACCCCATTTTACAGGCAGCTCCAAAGCCATGTTTTTGACCCTTTCCCATGGGGAAGATGTGGCTTCTTTAGGGATGCTTTTAATACACTCAGTCCATGACCGTGATCTTCCTGAGCTTTGAGATAACAGCAAGAAAACTTCAGAGGAACCTCATGTCCATTATCCACCACACCAAATGCAACATTTGCACAGTGTTTGCAGGAGACCAGACATAAATCTGTCCCTGACCCCTGCTCCTGGTCCCATGCTCCCCACACCCTTTCCTCTCCCATGGAGAGGGACACACAAGGATGTATCTCTCAGGGATGGGGCCACCATGTGCCAGGATCCTCTTCTGGATGGAGGGATTGTAAAACAGAGGAAAAGGGCAAATGAGTAGGGCACGTATGACTGGTGCTGATAAACTCAACAAGGAAGAGGAGGGAATGGGGTGAACAGGTTTGTTTGCTACACCAGCATTTGGTTGGGGGTGGGGAAGTGCTTTTTGTTGGGCTCTTCTAAGGGAAAATGTGAGGCAGGTGACAGATCTGCCTCCACGTGTTTGCTGTTCCCCAAAGGAGGGAGACGGCTCAGGGCCAAATCTCTCTTTTAAGTAGACACCAGTGCATCCTCAGTTACACCAGTGCTTGTGCTGGGCACTTCCAGGCAGTCCAGAATCTACCTGCAAGAGGCTGGAACATGGAACAAGCACCCCCTCTGCAATGGGGAAGGACAGAGGAGGCCAAGGTGCCAAGGGGAAAGAAGTGAAAGCTACACTTCAGTGAGAACACACTGATGTCCCCAGGCTCGTGTGTGCCACGTGTTGGCATGAGCAGTTGGTATGAGCAGGTGCCCTGTGCATGCTGCATTCACTCCAGGCACCCAGCCAGCCGTGGTGTCTGCTCTTTACCTTCATTGGGAAAACCATTCTCTGTCCTTTCAGCGTCCGCTCGGGCTGAATCCCAGGCCAAAGAGCTCTGCCATGAGCAGAGCTCGTACTAGACATTCCTCCTTCCTGGTGTGGGCAGAAAAGCAACTCAAAAAAGGCTGGGCAGGAACCCACTTTAAACCCTTCCACTCCCCTGTCCTGGAAAATTGACACCCAGACCCCACCTCTCTGCTCTGACTTGGTGGTAAAATGCTGCTGAAATTTGGTGAGGACCACGTGGGAAGATTGGGCTCCTGGGGTGAGGAGGCTGCTTCAGCTCAGAGATGTATTTTCAGAGTTTCCTTGTGGTGTTTTTTTCATCCACTGACTCTGATCCTGTTCAAGAATTTCCCAGCCTTGTTGACTCACAAAATGTTCTTGCCTTAAAACAGTACTGCCACCTTCATTTCCAGCTTCACGGCTCTGCCATCAGCAACACGACATTTGGAAGGCTTCACAACCGTTTCAAAATGTTCAGATTTGCTCCAGGGCAGCAGAGCCTAGAAAGCCATCACTGCCTGTGGCTGGCACAGCTCTTGATTGCAATGGATTACCCCCTGTGATGCCAGGGAGAAATGATCAGGGCCTGCTAACTTCTCAGTCTTCTTGTGTTTACTCTTTTCTCCTTCCAGGGATTTGCAGCTCTTCGTGCACGTGGAGGCAGGGAATGTTTTGTCCAAGAGGTGACACGGCACACAGCCTCTCACCAGAGAGGAGCACCAAAAATCTCTTGATTTGGATTCAGAACCAAGCTTAGCACTTAAGAGAAAAGGTGTGGAGGTAAGTTCCTCACCCTGGGATCCCTGGAAACACTCCAGGTCAGGTTGGACAGGGTCCTGAGCAACCTGATTATGATCTAGTGGAAGATGTTCCTGCTCAGTGCAGGGGGGTTGGACTAGATGGCCTTTTAAAAGTCCCTTCAACCTCAAACTATTCTGTGATTCTATGATAAGTTAAGGGGCACTAAGAAAGTAGCTCTGGTTGTCTGACAACAAGGTCATTTTCTGATGCAGAGAGATCAGTCAAATACCCCTGTCCCTCCTTCTGCTCTTGGTTACTGCCCATCAGGGATGTCTTGTGGATTCACACCACCATATACCAGCTGCATCTGGTTCATTTGCCTTCCAGAGAAAATTTTAAGCCCTTTCTCAATTGTCTTTGTAGAGATAAAGAACTGCACTGACACAAGTTTATTTATTCCTGCAAGTAAACATGTTTTGCTTTGAAAGGAATTGAAACACTGAGACTCCTACCTTATCTTTCAGCTTCTCCATCCAGCTTCTCACTGAAAAATAAGACAAAAAAGCTGTAATCATGTTACTTACATTAATTAGCAATGACTGATAATGATAATATTAAAATAGACAGTAATTAACTTGACAAGCTGATAAGACTTTACATTAGATTCCCTCTCTTCTCATTCATGAGAAAGAGCAAATGCAGCTGAAAATCAACACGAGCAATTCTTCAAGTGAGTTGGCAGGCAAGCAGCTCACTTTTGCCTGAGCAATTCACATCTTCAGAGTGGTTAAAAAAGGAATATAAAAAACAGTATTTCAGGTTGTGGATTTTTACTTCTCATGCGAGGACAAGAAGAAAACCTCACAGCGCAGGTACCCCCTTCCACTGGCCTCCTCCACATAGATATTCTTCCTTCTATTTGGTACAGCCTGTAATCATGGCTAAAAAAGTATTATTCCCTGTCTTTTATTCTCTTGCTTTTCTGGAAGAGCCACTGCCTGCTCTGGAAAGCCACCAGAGGGCTGGGGTAGCACTGGACGTGCTAAACTGGTAAACCAAGTAAATTTACACTGCCAGCACGGCGACTTTCTTTTCCTAAGAGTTAATGTAAGTCTTGTGAAACATGATACCTGAGAATTAAAGTTCTGTGATGGCATGGACTTTGGGATGAAATATCCAGCTAGTCTTAAAGAACATCAACACCACAGGGCACTGGATGTGTCTGAGGGCAAAACGCCCACAGAGATCCACCAGGATTTTAACTAATTCCTGCTCATAGGTAAGAAGCAAGTAAACAGTTAAATGTTGGGTTTTTTCCAGGGTTCACAAAGTGCATTTTAAGCCTGGTCAAGTATTCCCATTTCTCCAGGAGGACGAAGCTACAGGCACAAGGGGACTCTTGGATACACCAATGCCCTTCTGAGGGATATTTCTCCCAGGACACATTAAATTTCAAGTGTAACCCATCATTTATGGAGTGAGACCCCATCTCCAAGCCTGCTTTGTTATAGAAGGTGCTTTCAAAGCTTGCATTAGCAGTATTAGAGTCTGCACATGCACGTGCACCACCCAGGGCATCCTTCAGAAGGGAGCCTTGCTGTGAGTGGGGAGGGGCCAGCAGTAAATGGTTATTCTATGACTCAGACCACAAGTTCAAAATTATTTGAATACTCCCCTTTTAAGTGTTAGTAACATAACACTTCCAAAAAAAAGGATCCCAAATTACCTAGAGGTGAAAACATGTGAAACAGGCACAGGTGAACACACACAAACTCATGTCTGGCAAGGACCTGGGAAAAAAGATGAATTATCCAGGAGAGAGACACCCACAGCACTAGGAGAGGGCAAGAGGTCTACTTTTATCAACTCTTCCCACCATTAATCTTGCCCTGCATGGACTAAGCCATAGTAAAGTCAGTTTGTGGAGGTGCCATCACCATCCTGCATGCCTTGAAGTCACTCCCAGTGGAACACTAGAGAGGAAGGGAATTCATGGTTCCCCTGGGCCAGGTTTCTCAGCTGGGTTTCCAGATGTGACACTGCCAGGAGGGGTGGTGACAGTGGCTCAGTCACACAGTAAGAACCACAGGGCTTTGGACTGATGTCCCCTGTGCACGCCCAGACAGCTACACAGGTACCCTCAGTGTGTGCCCACCACTGATGAAAGCCACTGTGCTGCTCAGTTGGCCCAAACTCAAGCTGAGCACAAAGCCTATTTCTGTGTCTCTCACAGCAATTATATGGGATCAGTGATCTCCTCAATAGCCGACCCACTTTCTTGCAGCTGAACAACGGTGCTCTAAAGCAGCAATTAACTCTGCAGTGTTTCTGCCAAGGCAGAGGCAGGGGCTGATCTAATAATATTCTATTACCTATTTCCAGCAAACACAAGCTCTGGCTTCGTTCCCCTCTGCTCCACGAAACAACAGCAGCGCGTCCGCTGGGACCCACAAGCTCCACAGTACAAATCTTTGTTTGCTATCATATAATTGCTCATTATTAAAACCAGCCTTGTTTTCAGCCATGCAGAGCACATGTCAGATGCCTCTGGGAATCAACCCAGGCCACAGGAAAAACAACCCAAGGTGATTTCTGCCAGACTGGATGGCTATCCAAGGGATGCTCTAAAGCAGTCACAGGCTGGCTGGCTGGGTCACAGCCTCTGACCTCTGCTTGAGGAAAATAATGGCCCCAAGTTCATGAGATTAAGGCAGCAGGAGGTCAAAACCCCTTGAATGTCCTGGCAGAACTGCACTGATGTATGGCAGCAGTGGATTCACCTCTCCTGGGAAGGAGCAGAGAGTGCGGAGCCGTCACAACCAAGGTCCTGCAGCCTGTCAGGCTGGGGCCAGGACAAGTCAAGGACCTCTGGATTACCATGAATTACAAACACTTTTCCTATCACTAACGCACAAAACTCTTTTAGCACCTTTGAGGAAATGACAAGTCACTGTGTCATCAAAACCAAGCACTTATTGCAACAATTCCTTACCCATCTGGAGACACTGTGGGGTGTGGGTAGGAGATGAAGCATTATTTCAGGTTAGATTTGATATCTATGCTAAGCAGCTACCATCAATTAACTCTGGACTTCAGGCTCTAATTAGGCATTATTATCCATGATTAATATTCTGAACTTGGTCTTGGAAGAGGAACATTGTGGTTGGCACCTCCTCATGAACACACGACGCTCTCCAAGAACACCAGGTGACTTTCCAACGAGGCCAAGCAAACAATTAGTAAGAGATACACTAGTCCATGTATTTTTCATCATCCCCTTTTTTCTCCTTCCCTGATCACCAAATGTCCTGAAGATATTACAACAATCTCTGGGTGTGAATTACCAACAAGTGTCTGCAGTGCTGGCTCGTTTTCCATGGCATTTTAAGGATGGTGAACTGTCCAAACTCTGCCTCGGCTTAATTTTGAACCCTTGGTTTCATGGGGAGCTAAGCAAGATCAGTGTGGAGCACTTCTGCAAATTACATACATAATCTGACATTTCCTCAGTGATTTATAATATAATGTCTGCATCTTTGCAAATTAATTTTAAATAGCATATAGCTGAAGATTAATCTGGTCAGGAGCGCAGAGGAGGAGCACAGTTGTCTGACAGTGGTGTCAGAGCAGCTCAGGATGAATTGAGACACTCACAATGTGCTATTTTTAGTCATTTTTACCCAGCTTTCCCCTCCAAAATGTGCAGCCAGCTATTAAGATGCTATGGTGCCAACTAAAGGAGTGTAAGCAGCAGCCTGTGGTGCCTGTCTGGCCCTTCCTTGGAGGTATCTGGTCTAAGGGGACAGTCAAAAACCCCCACAAGCAAAACCATTCTGAAAGTTCAGGTTGTGGCAGGTGCAGGCTGGAGAGGGACAGTAGGTGACATTGGACTTCAAGGAATGGGGCAGCCACAGCTCCTCTGGGTAACCTGTGCCAGGGCCTCACCACTCTCACAGCCAAGAATTTCTTCCAAATATCCCATCTAACCCTGCCCTCTGGCAGTGGGAAGCCATTCTCCCTAGTTCTGTCACTCCAGGCCCTTGTCCCAAGTCCCTCTCCAGTTCTCTTGGAGCCCCTTTAGGCACTGGAAGGGGCTCTGAGGTCTCCCTGGAGCCTTCTCTTCTCCAGACCGAACACCCCCAGCTCTCCCAGCCTGTCTCCAGAGCAGAGGGGCTCCAGCCCCCTGAGCATCTTCATGGCCTCCTCTGGACTCGCTCCAGCAGGTCCATATCCTTCATAAGTTAGGCCATCACTCCTGATCTCATTTCTTGTTGCTGTTCCATGGACTGCCCATCTTCAAATTAGTTCTTTTTCGTTAGTCAGGTCTCCTGTGTCCCCCTTTGCTCTGGAAGCTGCAGGGCACTGGGTGCCAGAGCCTGGCTCTGCCTTTCCATCTGACCATGATGCACCATCAAATCTCTCGCCAAAGGCTTTTCCCTGCTTCCCTCACCACCACCCACCCCAGAATCAGGAGCATAAGACTTCCAGGCCTCTTGCTTTGCCAACTTTTAGTAATCCTAATTGCCTAATTATCCACTCCAATGCAATGATAAAGCTGCTTAATAATTCTGTTCGCTTCTCATTCATTCTCTCCCTTCCCAGATAAGAAAATGCAAAGACTTCTGGTACAGATTTCAATCAATAATTCATGCCCTCCTGCCATCAGTTCTGTCTCCCCCTTCCCCTCTTGTATGCCCTGCTGCTTTATCTTGTCACTTTGGTTTCATCTTATCAGTTTGTTTTAATCATATTCTCTTTTTTAATCATCAGTTAAAACAATTCTGTTTTTCCGTGGCACGTTATCCCTCATCCCTGCACACCTCCCTTTATTTTCAAATCCGGTGTCTACCTCTTCATTCCAGAACTACTGATGAAGGTTCATCCATCACCTTCTCTTCTAATAATTCCCCACCGTGACCACCAGATCAGTGGTGAAAATGTGGCACCCAGGATCCTACACGCTCTCCCAAGGGCAGGGAAAAGGACTGAAGGATGGTTTTGTGGTTAAGAACTAACCTGGAGCTCGGGTAACCTGCCCCAACCATCACACCTGCAATTCCTGAGCTGCAATAGGCTGAGAGGGCTGCACCAGACTTCACTCTGGGAGATCAGAAACTATCAGTCATGCTCAGAGGATGAAAAGATTTTGATCTAAGAGATACTATTAATTGCTTTCACATCTGCCTGAGATCAGAGACATCCCTATCCCAGGAGCCAGAGAAGCTGTTTAAGGACAAGGTCCCCACTGCAGCAGATGACAGTTCCCACTGCAAGTGGCCTGTGCACCAGACAGACCCAGGAGGCCAAGGTGGATGGAGCCAAGAGGCAAAGACAGCAGCCCTTCCTGAGCACTGGCAATGCCTGCTCTGGATGCTGGGTTTGCTCTGCCTTCCTCCAGCCAGGACAAGGCCTTCATCCCACCCACGAAGTGTTGTAAGGCAACAAAAGGCCAGCTTGGTGTATCTGCAGGAGTGTGGAAAACGTAAATCCAGAGTGAGGAGGTTTTTTTTGCAGGCACAGTGAAAGGTAAGTGCATCCTGCAGC